TGAGTTAAGACAGAACAGAAAATTAAGACCAACAAAAAGATAATGGAAACGTACCAAGGAAATAAAATATCCCTGTAAGCACCCTACAGTCTATCTTCACACAATGACTTCCTTTCTCACTCTTAATGGCTGACAGTAATACCCAACCTTCCACACTCTCTCCGAGGGGCCCAGCGTCTCAAAGATTCGAACCCCACGAGCCCAGATTAAGAGATCTGCTGCCTACTTTCCTGTCTCTCGTTACCCTGGGAGCTTTATGGATTATGCCAAAGACCCCCAACGACCTATTACGCGTCTATAGCAACGCATAATGGCCACGGATGTATAAAAAGAGGCATGGTGAGTAAAATTTCACCTCTAAATAATGTTTATTCGTCAGTTGAAACAGAGAGGCTTTATAGCTCCTTTTCAAGTCGTGAAGTAGATGTCAATATCACCCAAATGAGCAATGAAAGGAAACATTTTAAAATTTAGTTTTAGTGCGAGTTTTACCATTATTATTTAATGCAACACAATGTGGTCATTTAAGTGCCGAAGATAAGAGGTGTCACCAGAGGGTAACACACATACAAAGAAAAGAAGGTCATAAGAGCAAAGACATTATGATTATGAGCATCTTTAAAAACTATAAAACGTAAACAGGTCAGCAAAACGTCACAGACGAACTGAAAATATTGTATATTCGCTGGGTACACGTTCAATGAACGTACATAAAATAATCGTCGATCATCAAGTCATTGTGGAAACACTGCGCACGGCAAGTGAACGGAAACCTCACTAGTTTACAATGACGTCTTAGAAGACGGACCTTCCCAAGACTAGATCTAAACGAAACTAATGAAAAACTGAAAATTAAACTATAGTGACTTCGGACTCCTGAATAAAACTGTGCACCCTTTAAATGATTCTGAACCACCATTAATTTTGTCAAATTCGAAAGTATAGTGGTTCAAAAGTTTTAGGCGGTGAAAGTGATGAAGTTTCACAAATATAATAGGCATAGATTATCAAACATAACATAACACTTAAATGTTTCGGCACACCAAAAAGCGTTTTAAAATTTTCGACGCACCAAGAAGCAGATCACGTCACGCATTATATTCAGCAAATCAACAACGTCGGTGGGAATAAATGATTCCTCGTCAATACCGACAAATAAACACTTTGCACAAACGCCATTCCACTAATCCGCCGACAGTGAACAGCTAAGCTGTGACTGATTTCCCCTCCCGTGGCGGGACATCAAAGATGTACTTAACCCCTGCTGCGGGTTCAGTCACTGGTCTATTGTCTCCCCTTGGAACTCGTCGTGTATTACGCTACCTAAGAATTACAAAGTTCTATCTGCTCATTACATAGTTTTGA